ATGAGACGGCAAAACTTGTAAGTCAGACAATTTATTGTAGACAAGAACTGAACAGACAGCTCTGTGCCACATGTGTTTCCCCTACACCTGGGAGTCTTTTCACCAGATTAACTCCACCCAGGTCTAAATCCAACAAAAAGCATAACAAATCTGCACATCAGTTATAATTGAAAATAAACCCACTTTGAAATTAGCAGTTGGGAATAAGGGACAGATTAATGTATAGATAAATAATAAAAAGGAAAAAAGGACATTAAAAAAGACAACCCACGGCCCCACTCAGGAAGTTAAGTCTCTTATTACAGCAGCTGCTACGTGTAGCACTGACGGCTTATGCATAGCTGACACCACATGTAGAGCAGACACTGCATGTAGATCTCTCACCACGTGTAGAGAATGTTATGGGGATTTTAGTGAACTTTTCTTTTGAAATCCATGGGTTATCAATCATTCCACACTTTTGTGTCACAACCTTGATGCTCTTCGATTGGTCACAACACTCACATGCTCCTCTGTGCACAAGCATGAGAGCAATGCGAGCGATAGCTGCTGTCCACAGTCAGCTCTGATGGGTAAGAACGTTGACGCGGTACTCTCGTCTTGCAGTAGGACCACTGCACGAGAACGGGAGAACAAGAGCTGGCCAGAATGCTAATGTTTGGGACTGCGCTTAACACAAACTGGTGTAGCAATTTGAGAGTGATCTCCAAGCATTGTCCTCCTGCTCTGGATTATAGTTTAATTAATTGCAAGCCGTTCTACTCCCCACGAGAGTTTGCTTCATTCATTCTTGCCACTGTTAATAAGCGGACACGCAGACTGGCAGAGCAAGTACCGTACATGGAGCAGTCATAACCAGACTCTCTGATTATCATCCTGCGGGAGTTTAATAAGTGGAATTTGAGCCAGGAATTACCCAAATTATCACATAACCGACTAGAGAAGAGAACACACTGGATCACTGTTACACGGAGCTTAATGTGCTGTGCCTCGCATGGCTCTAGGCTTCTCAGACCATTCCCATGATACATCTGATTCCTGCAAACAGACAGAGGCTGAGGCTCTTGAAATCTATAGCGAGGAACTCTATAGCGAGGAACTCTAAGGTGTGGTCTGAGGAGGCTGTGGATGAGCTGCGCCCTTGCTTGGAATCCACGGACTGGGACTCTTTCAGAGCTGCCACCGCTCCATTCAGACCTCATCCATCAGCTCCACCCTCCCCCCACCCTGACAATTGCGCAGGAGGAGGTCTATAGACTTCTTGAGGCTGTCCCCACGTCAAGCCCCTGGACTTGACGATTTCTCACTGTCCACCCTGAGACATACTGCATACTGTATGTGGTCACTCCAGTCTTAATACCATGCTGGAGTCTTGCCACGTCCGGCCTGCTTCAAAACCTCAATCATCGTCCCTGCCCACAAGAAGACCCGGATCACTGGACTTAACGACTACAGACCTGTGGCACTGACATCTGTAGTCATGAAGTGATTTAAGCGCCTGGTCCTCCCCCACTTCAAGTCTTTCACCTCCTCCCTCCTGGACCCCCTGCAGTTCGCCTACAGAGCCAATAGATCTGTAGACTATGCCATAAACCTGGCCCTCCACTACATCCTGCAATACCTGGACTCTCCGGGATACTACACCAGGGTCCTGTTTGTGCGTCTGGGGAAGAATCTCTTGGATTCTCTGATTATTAATACAGTGTTCTTTTGCCCCTGCTTTTCTCCCTGTACACCAACCACAACTCTGTGAAGCTTATCAAGTTCGCGGACTCATCCCACCCTCATTGAACTCATCTCCGACAACGATGAGTCCGCCTACAGGAGGGAGGTTGACCAGTGGTCCTGGTGCAGTGGTAACAACCTGAATCAGAACACCCAGACGACCGTGGAGATGATTGTGGACTTCTGGAAAAGCACAGTTCTCCCACCCCCGCCCTCCCTGTTTGACTCCCTTATCACCTCTGGTCGTTTCATTTCCTGGGCACCACTATCACCCAGGACCTCAAGTGGGAGCCGACCATCAGCTCCCTCATCAGGAGGCTACCGCCCGCCAAAAGAACGGTGTCTTCCCCTATTGGACTCTTGAACACTTCATAACCTTTTCCCCCCACCCTTTATAAAGCCACTTAACTTCTCTTTACAAGTTCACTTTACTGCCGTCGCCTTACTGCACTGCTTAATGTATATCGAGTAAACTGAGTGCGCTTGTATATTGTACATAGCAATAATTTTTATTTTTATCTTTTAGAAATGTATGCTGATTTTTACTATGCCTTACTCTATTCTCTACCTCTCTACTTTTGACTTGTTTGCACTGAGAGCCAAAGCAATTTCCTAGTCTGTGACATCCTGTTGCTTACATAAGCGCGAGACATTGACCTGAATGGGCAGACATGTTGGAGACCTGAAACCTTGTAATAAATGTATAAGTAGAACATATCTTGCCTTTAATGTTATTAAAGGCACTGTGTGCAGATGAATACCAGATATTGTCAGACATCTGAAGCTAAGCATGGCAGGGACTGGTTAGTACTGTGCAGGGAGACCTCTAGGAACACCAGGTGCCACAGTGGGGCAGCTGCCAAGTGCCAAATTGTCCTTGTGCCCTTCGGCAAGACACTGCACCCACATTGCCTGGAATTTGTTTGTGTGTGTGTGTGTGTGCCCTAAAGTAGTAGTTTATCACCACAGTGTTTTGGGTGAATAAATTACGATGTGAAGCGTCTTGGGTCAAAAAACTATTATTAATATCATTATTATACTCTGTCGGCCCATGTGAGTTCCCTAGCTTCTCTGAGGGCATGTAAATATTACTTCAAGATACTGTCATGATCTAAACTCATTTAATAAGGAGTTTGGAGAGGAAGAGGAGGAGACCATGTCCCTGCTTCTGTCCGTCACACTCCACACTAGAGGCACCACATGGAGGTCACCAATGAGTCCTCCAAATGCCTTCCCCAGCAGCAGTAGTGCTCTGTCTCATTAGTTAAATAAGACGTGAGATTATTGATTAGAGCTGTTTAATTTTTCTGTGCGCTGTCATAGAGCGGAGAGGCCCTCGGGCTCCAGACGATGCACACAGGGGTCCGATCAGAGCTGACATAAGCAGGGGAAGGAGGGGGGCAGGTGCTTGTGTGGAGAGGCCATACCATCACTGGCTGTCACCCGCGCTCTGTGAATAATGCATGAGTCTGTTAATCATTCATCACAGACTAAACTATGTGGACAGCTCTGCATGTGTGCGATGGCTCTTCTCTAAATGTTTAAGTAAGAGGAATATTGCCCGAAAGTGAAACCTTTATTTTCTTTTGATTAATATTGCATTTTGAGTCCCTCATTGTCATATTGTAAAGTTAAAACTAGGACTCCCAGAATTAGGAAACTATGAGAACTAAAAGATAAACAAAGATACCCCCCAAAAAATGTATGCTTAAAGGTAATTTGTTTCTCCCATCTTGTGTTGAGATCATATATTGCAAGGCTACTTCTACCACCAACACTACGGAAGCCTCTGAGGATCATATGTCATGTTTGACAGTGGTCCCAAACACCCGGTAATTCACCGGACCACTAAGGAAAGAACCCTTTATTTTGATAAGGATGTCACGGGAAACCAGTAATTTAAGTTCTGCACCCACTGATCATTAGATAAGGTCGGCATTACAACTTACACTGCTCGTCACTTCTTTTGTGAGCCCAAATAATAGGAGCAGCACGTCGTGTGCATTGGAGAAGAATCTGTAAGACGGTAAATAGCAATAAAGTAAATGATTGAATCTAAAGTAAACCCACGGCCGTAGCTCAAACATGCACATCTTTGTCTTTGTGTGCAATGCCAAAAGGCAACCTCAGCCAAGGAATACTCCAACAAAGCAAAGTAAAACGTTTACACTTCTTTTTATTATTATTTTCAAGATAGATAATTTATACTTTTTATTGATGCTAGAGTTAGAGATTTTGTTCTATTTTAATTAGTATAGCTATTGTTCACTTATCTTGTGCTGTGTGCTCCTCTTTCCTACTGTTCTATAACTTCTATAACTGTGATGT